ATGGTTTTGGGTTTTACATTTAAGTCTTTAATCCATCTTGAGTTAATTTTTGTATAAGGTGTAAGGAAGGGGTCCAGTTTCAATTTTCTGCATATGGCTAGCCACTTTTCACAGCACAATTTATTAAATAGGGAATCCTTTCCCTAATTATTGATTTTGTCAGGGTTGTTGAAGATCAGATGGGTGTAGATGTGTGGTGTTATTTCTGAGGTTTCCATCTGTTACATTGGCTTATGTATTTGTTTTGGTACCAGTACCATGCTGTTTTGATTATTGTAGCCTTGTAGTATAGTTTGAAGTCAGGTGGCATGATGCCTCCAGCTTTGTTCTTTTTGCTTAGGATTGCCTTGGCTGTACACGCTCTTTTTTGTTTCCATATGAAATTTTAAGTAGTTTCTTCCAATTCTGTGGAGAAAGTCAATGGTAGTTTGATGGAAATAGCATTGAATCTATGAGTTACTCTTGGCAGTATGACTATTTTCACGATATTGATTCTTCCTATCCATGAGGATGGAATATTTATACATCTGTTTGTATCCTCTCTTATTTCCTTGAGCAGTGGTTTGTAGTTCTCCTTGATGAGCTCCTTCACATCCCTTGTTAGCTATGTTCCTAGGTATTTTATTCTGTTTGTAGAAATTGTGAATGGGAGTAAATTTATAATTTGGCTCTCTGCTTGTCTATTATTGGTGTATAGGAATGCTTACAATTTTTGCATATTGATTTTGTATCCTGAGACTTTGCTGAAGTTGCTTATCAGTTAAAGGAGTTTTTGGGCTGAGACGATGGGGTTTTCTAAATATAGAATCATGTCATCTGCAAACAGAGGCAATTTGATTTCCTCTCTTCCTATTTGAATACTTTGTTTTCTTTCTCTTGCCTGATTCCCTTGGCCAGAACTTCCAATGCTGTGTTTGAAGAGGGGTGGTGAGAGAGGGCATCCTTGTCTTATGCCAGTTTTCAGAGGAAAGGTTTTCGGTTTTGCCCATTCAGTATGATATTGGCTGTGGGTCTGTCATAAATAGCTCTTATTATTTTGAGATATATTTCATCAATACCTAGTTTATTGACAGTTTTTAACATGAAGCGCTGTTGAATTTTGTCAAAGGACTTTTCTGCATATATTGAGATAACCATGTGGTTTTTGTCATTGGTTCTGTTTATGTGATGAATTATGTTTATTGATTTGCTATGTTGAACCAGCCTTGCATCCTAGGGATGAAGCCAACTTGATTATGGTGGATAAGCTTTTTGATGTGCTACTGGATTAGATTTACCAGTATTTTATTGAGGATCTTCACATCGATGTTCATCAGGGATATTGGCCTGAAGTTTTTTTTGTGTGTGGTGTGTCTCTGCCGGGTTTTGATATCAGGATGATGCTGGCCTTATAAAATGAGTTAGGGAGGAGTCCCCCTTTTTCAATTGTTTAGAATAGTTTTAGTAGGAATGGTACTAGCTCCTCTTGGTATCTCTGGTAAAATTCAGCTGTGAATCCATGTGGTCCTAGGCTTTTTTCGGTTGGTAGGCTATTTATTGCCTCAATTTCAGAACTTGTTATTGGTCGGTCTATTCAAAAATTTGACCTTTTCCTGTTTTAGTCTTGGGAAGATGTTTGTGTCCAGGAATGTATCCATTTCTTCTAGATTTTCTAGTTTGTTTGCATAGAAGTGTTCTTCTCTTGGCTTTTCTAAGTCTTTTGCATTTCCATAAAAATTTTAAATCTGCTTGTTAATTTCTATAAAAAAGTCTTTCATTTATGGATTTTGACTGCATCAGTTTGGGGAGAATAGACACCTTAGCAACTTTGAGTCTTCCATACAAGGTATGTATCTCCATTTATTTGGATTTTTTAAAATGTACCTGAACAATGAGGTCTCGTTAAGTAAATTTTATTAAATTTATTTCCAAGAATTTTATAATTTTTTAAGTGAAAATGATTTTATACTTTTGTATTTCAATTGTTTGTTGCTGTTGTCTTTATTTTATATCATACAGTCTTGCTAAATTCACTTATTAATTATAGTAAGTTTTTGGAGATAGCATTTTTAATATATTTGATGACATCCGCAACAAAGGATACTTGTATTTTCTTCCTTCTTAAATTTACACTTTCATTTCTTTTTCCTGTGTATTGTGCTGGCTAGCATCTTCAGTGCAATATTGAGTAGAAGTGGTTATAGCAATTATTTTGAACTCTGTTCCTGTCAGTCTTGGGGGAGAAAGCATTCAGTATTACACTGTTAAGTATGATATTTGTGATAGGTTCTTCACAGGTGATTTTATCAGTTTGAAGAAGTTCTCTTTTATTTCTTGTTTGCTGAGAGTTTAAAAAAAATCAGATGCTTTTGTCTCCTGATTTATTGAGATGGCCATAAAGTTTTTCTTCTTTATGCTATCATATGATTAATTAAATTAATTGATTTTCTATTTATTACCAAGCTAACCTGGCATTCCTGAGATAAATTTCACTTGGTCATGGTGTAGTATTAGTTTGATATATTGTGAGAGATTTGAGTTCCTGCTATTTTTACAGGGTTTCTTTTGGCATCTGTGAAAATGCGATTTATTGGCTTGTAATTTCATTTTCTTGTAATGTCTTTGTCAGATTTTGGTATCAGGGTTACCCTGGCATTCTGAAATGATTTGGAAAGTTCCTTCCTTTCTCTATTTTCTAAAATAGTTTGTATGAGATTTTTTTCCTCCCTAATTTTTTTTTTTTTTTTTTTTTTTGGAGACGGAGTTTCGCTCTTGTTACCCAGGCTGGAGTGCAACGGTGCGATCTCGGCTCACCGCAACCTCCGCCTCCTGGGTTCAGGCAATTCTCCTGCCTTAGCCTCCCAAGTAGCTGGGATTACAGGCGCGTGCCACCATGCCCAGCTAATTTTTTTGTATTTTTAGTAGAGACGGGGTTTCACCATGTTGACCAGGATGGTCTTGATCTCTTGACCTCGTGATCCACCCGCCTCGGCCTCCCAAAGTGCCGGGATTACAGGCGTGAGCCACCGCGCCCGGCCCCTTTTCCTCCCTAATTTACGAGTAAAACTATCTGGGCTGGTAGCTGGATGCTTTCAGGATTTTCTTATGCGTGAGTTTCAGCAGCTTGACTATGAGTGTCTGTGTGGTTTTTCTTGTATTTATTTTTCTTGTGATTTGCTGAGCCTGTCGAATCTATAAGCTGAAGTTCTTAATAAAATTTGGGAAATTTTGACCATGATTTTTTTCTGTTAGTTTATCTTCCCTATTACTCCTCTTTTCCCCTTCTAGGACTCCAATTGCATATATGTTAGACAACATGTTGATATTGTCTCATAGATCCTTGAAGCTATGTTTTCTTAAATATCTTTTTTTTTGCCCCAGATTTGTGAGTAATTTCTACACAGACTTGGAGCTTCTTTTCTATATGGCTTCTTATATTCTGGGATATCTACCTTCAATTTCTAGTTGTTCTTGTAGCCCCAAACAGTTTCCTGTCATATTTTAACCCATTAAGACTGTGGCTTTCTGATCAAGTTTCAGCCACTTCTGCCATAGAGACTGGGTAGTGCCCTTAATGGAAAAACTATAGAATACGTTTCAGCTTCTGCCTGTTTTTCATTGCTGTCCAATGTCTTCAAGTAGTTCTCTTCTTTTAATTTTTGGGCATCTATTAAAATTATTACCTAGAGGAGGGTTAATATGGTACAGTCTATTTCATCATTATTAGAACTAGAACTCTGCCTCTTGTATTTATTTATTTATTTATTATTTATTTATTTTTTGAGATAGAGTCTCGTTGTGTCACCCAGGCTGGAGTGCAGTGGCATGATCTCAACTCACTGCAACCTCCGCCTCCCAGGTTCAAGCAATTCTCGTGCCTCAGCCTCCCGACTAACTGGGACTATGGGCAGCTGCCACCACACCAGGTGAATTTTTGTGCTTTTAGTAAAGATGGGGTTTCACCATATTTTTTAGGCTGGTCTCGCACTCCTGGCGTCAAGTGATCCACCCGCCTCGGCCTCCCAAAGTGTTGGGATTACAGGTGTGAGATATTATGCCCAACCCTGTATTCTCAAACTTAGTTAATTTCACCATTCACTCTATTTTTCAATTTAGAGACCCCGCTATCCCCAATTCAAAGTAACTAGTCATTAGATCCTAACAATTCTTTCTGAGGTATGCTTCCTGAATGTAGTGCCACCTAACTTTCTTAGAGTCACTGTTTGAGTTCTGGTTCTCATTTAAATGGTTTTCCTTGCCCCTTAGCCTCAGTCGTTTCCCATACTGCCTCAGATATCATCCTAAAAAAATTCCTTATTATATTACTCCTTTGTTTTATGACACCTCTAAGGTTCCTTCGAGATTGGTTTGGTTTATAAAATCCCTCCCAATCCAATGTATACCCTGGTGTTGTTCCATATAGAACTAATGCTAGATGTTAAACTCTCTGTGTTCCTTAGACACATCAGAACTTTCTGTGTTTTTGTAACTTTTGTACTTTGTATCCTGCCTATTTGGAGCATCCATTTTCATCTGACTTTTCAAGATGTAATTTTAAAGTCCATTCCGCCTACTATCTCTTCCCTGGTCTTCTTAGCTAGGTTACCTCTGTCCTCAACCTCTCTCTCTGTTTTCTTACTGTACTTATAAGTTCCCATGTTGACTCATCTATCTATCTATCTATCTATCTATCTATCTATCTATCTATCTATCTATCATTTATTTATCTCCATCTACTTACCATCTATATAATGTCTGATTTCTCAGGGGAGTCTAATTTCCTTGATCAAAGCACTAAGTCTTTCAACTGTGTCTTTTTGGTATCCATAGCATCTAGTAAGCATTGTATATCTGGTGTAGATTCTCAATGTATATTTTGTTGATGACAATATTACGAAGAATATTTCTCAGCAATGATGCTCAAAGCAGTGTTTTACATATAGAAATTAAATGGCCACAGGCATGAAAGGAGAAATGAATCAGCCAGTTCATGACTATTCTGTTATTTGTTGTTTCTTTAGGAATATCTGCTCCCTCATCAAGCATCCCTCCAGACTTCTGCAGGAATGGTGGGACCTGGGAAAACGGCAGATGTATTTGCACAGAAGAGTGGAAAGGGCTGAGATGTACAATGGGTAAATTACTTGGGATAATGCTAAGGTGTAAGGTTGACGTCACTCTTGTGTTAATAAGAATAGCAATAAAGCTTCTAGAAGTTTCGGTGAATGGTTACAGAAACAATGGGCATAATGATGATGGCTTTAAGATGTGTTTATCAGCTCAATAATAAAAGTTGGGTTTTCTTCTTGGGCAATTTATCAGTATATTCAATGCACCTTATCTGTTTCCTGTTACGTTTTTCTGCAAACTCACAGTTGTGTTTCCTTCTGGCTGCAGTGACTAATCCAGGGCAATGATTCTCTCCAATCCTTTCAATTGGTAATATGCCGTATTACCCCATTTCAAATATCCCTATTCTCATATATTTAACTTTTCTGAAATCAAGATGCATCTTCCTAAGTATATACTTATATTAAATGTTTATCTTTTCTTCCTTTACCTTGAAGAGTTATTATTAAGTTAGTAGTTTGATTTCAATCAATTGTGCCTCAGAATCAAAGTTCAAGGCCATTTTTAAATCTGAGGTGTGCTTTCCAACACTGTACACGTCATGCTGTCTGCTTAGAGTCCAGAGCCCTAGATACCTGCTGCTATCATTTACTGTACGCCTGCCGCACACTATCGCCCACAGACCCCATGAATTTGGCCTTTTTATTTTGCTCACATCCTCTTGATGCCTTTGGCCGCTGTAGACTGTATATTTTTAGTTCTGAAGATTTCACCTATTCTGTTACGGTATCCTGTCTCACATCGCATCTCTACCAGGTTTATATTGTGCACATTTTAACTGGAACCTGTTATCTAACATACTAGTCATTCTAATGTCAATAACGTAACCTGATAGGAAAGTACAGAGGTTCCTCACAGGCCAGTGGGTTCTATAAGCCTTCTATTACCTTTCAAATTTCACTGCATAGGTTCTGACCTTTGACTTTTATCTGGTTTCAATTTTTTAAAGTATGATTTTTAATAAGATTTTTTTCCTCTTTATTGCAGCTAATTTTTGTGAAAATAGTACATATATGGATTTTACTTTTCCCAGAATCCCAGTGGGCAGATATGGATCGTCCTTGGAAACATGTGACAAGAGTACTCCAAACGGTATGTGTTTTCCCAAACGTCTACTCTATTTAGGCATAAGAATTACTATGCTGAGTCACACCTCTCACACCTCCAACTAGTGTTAGGTCCATGAAGGGCAACAGGAAAGGTTTTGTGGAAGGACTTGACTCCCTTTCATGATGCTAATGTTCAAAACTTAAGGTAGTATCTCATAAAACCTTACATTTTGGCCGGGCGTGGTGGCTTACACCTGTAATCCCAGCACTTTGGGAGGCCGAGGTGGGTGGATCACGAGGTCAAGAGATTGAGACCATCCTGGTCAACATGGTGAAACCCCGTCTCTACTAAAAATACAAAAATTAGCTGGACGTGGTGGCGCTTGCCTGTAGTCCCGCCTACTCGGGAGGCTGAGGCAGGAGAATTGCTTGAACCCAGGAGGTGGAGGTTGCAGTGAGCTGAGATTGCACCATTGCACTCCAGCCTGGGCAACAAGAGCGAAACTCTGACTCAAAAAAAAAAAAAAAAAACCTTACATTTCTCAGAAGTTTAATGTGAATCAGTTGTTTGTGAATCTTTCCTTAATTGGTTTATTTTTCTAGCTTTTGCTGTCACCTAGAGTTCAGTCAAACTGACATTTGCCCTTTTAGTTATATATATATATTTTTAATTTGTCTAATCAGTCAAAATTTTAGACTTATGTCATATCTGCTTTCAGATTTCATCTTTCCAGGTAGAGATGCATGGTTAAGTCTGTTTACAGTTGGTAGTCCTTCACTTCTAGGTCACTTTAGTTATCCCTCTTGGAACATTCTCTAGCTTCATTCCACTTTTCTGGAATGACTACCTTACTTGTATGGAGGCATTCTGACAGCGAAGGAGTAAATAGCATTTTCTATTTCTAATATGGTCCCGGATAATATCAAAGATTTTGATGACTCATTTCAGTGTCACATTGGGTAATATCTTCTGAGTGTAAGCTTTAGAAATTCATAGATTCTATCCTGATAACCAGAGCTTATTATGCCATGTAATTTCCCATAATGTTTTACCTGTTCCTCATTTGTGTTGACTTGCATCTGAGCAATCTTCCAGCAGGTAATTCCTTACTTCCTATGGAACTAGAGATCTTAAGAATATGGCTAATTCTCGATCATTGACAAAAATGTTAGATAAAACTGCCTGCAATGGCCCTGAAGAGAATGTGACATTTTATTTAGATATTTATTTTTGTGTATGTCAGGAGAACTCTGAAGCACTAAAAAAATGACATGAATTGCATTTTTTGATATGCTTTTTATCTTATTATTATGAGAATTTTCCAGATCTGTATTTGATTTGTGGAGTTCAAATTGCTTCTGCCCATATAGATTATTGTGTTAGTTTATTCTTGCGTTGCTATAAAGAAATATCTGAAATACCATATCAGTCATGCTTACTCAAGTATTCATGATTCTACTCTCTACATAAGCCCTCTTGAATTTTTTCCTCAGGGCATAAAAGGGGCTTCAACCATGTTGATATTTACTATACATACTATACTATACTATACTGTACTATACTATACTATACTGCACTATACTATACTGTACTGTACTGTACTGTACTATACTGTACTATACTATACTATACTGCACTGTACTATACTATACTGTACTGTACTACACTATACTGTGCTATACTATTACTATACTGTACTATACTATACTGTACTGTACTACACTATACTGTACTGTACTATACTGTACTACACTATACAATACTGTACTATACTATTACTATACTGTACTATACTGTACTGTACTATACTATACTGTACTGTACTATACTATACCGTACTATACTATACTATACTGTATGCTATTGGTATCTATTGTTTTAAATTTACATGTTTTGTATGTCCTAAATATTTCACAATGGTTTATAAAACAGATACAACTTGCAAAATAAAACTGTGCTACTGAATTAGGAAGAGTAAAAGTGTCAGTAACATACCCATGAAAAGTCATCACTCTTGTTTAATATATATGAATTCTCTGGGACAAGAAACTCAATGTCTTTTATTTTGTTATTAATTTTTCTTTTCTGAGCACCTATTATGAAAACATGTTTATTAATTTTTCTTTTCTGAGCACCTCGAATTTCAGATTAAGCCTATAATTTTACAGATTTAGTTTCTAACTGTTGACAATTTGCTTTTAGTTTTATATGAATAATTACTTCTTACTACTTATATATCAAATGATCAAAATACTTCTCATTTTGGGGATATCTACATTTTAGGTAACATTGAGGAAAAGATGGATTTGACGTGTGTCCACTTAAAAGTTATTTATAGCCTATAAGTATGTTAGAGATTTTCATTATGTTATGGTGTAGAGGTGAAGTCATATAAATTAGGAGTAACTCCAACTTTGTGGTTTACATGTTATTGAAGCAATCTCTAATTTCAGTGTTTCTAGTTGTTGTCCCAAGAAGGAGCTGCCCAAAGCTGGCCCTGAGGAAAAATCCATCTTTTGGTCAGCTGTCCTCTAATTATGATGTTTTTCTATGGCAACTGCTTAACTATAGGAAGGCAGTGAGGTAGGGAGACTTGAATGGTAATCCTAAGAAATAAAGCAAATGACCCAGCAAATATTTATTGAGAGGCAACCAAACATCTAATACATACAATAGAATATAATAGAACTCTTTGCCTTTCAGCTCTTATCCACATTTGCATAAAGCAGTCAAGATCAACATGTAATTCAACATCTATTAGGAATTATTCATATTGTTTCTAGTCTCTCAGCCTGTATTCTCTCATCATATCCATTTCAAAGCTGTGATGTCCCTAATTGTTGAAAGGCAAATCTTACTTGAAGACATCAAAGAAAGGAAGTAGTCAACTTGTCTTTGGAACTCCGATTAAAAATCAAGACAATAAGTGGTATCTGCCTAAAAATAATAGGCAATAAGTTTTTAATAAATAACTTTTAATAAAAATTCATTATTACCTTAAAATAATAGGTGATAATTTTAATTAATATTTATTTTTAATAAAAAATTTTCTTTTTATTAAAGCGGGCAATCCAAGGGCAGTCCGGCTGTGCAGTCGCTCTCTGTATGGAGACATAGAATTACAAAATGTGACAATAGGAAATTGCAGTGCAACTCTGCAAAACCTGGAGAATGAGGTAGGCCATAACACTCACTGATGGGTAACTGCAAGAAGTTCTGATTCTGTGCAAAGTTTCTGTTCTTCAGATACTCGATGGTCAAATCAATGCTTTTAAAACTCTCAAATTAGAAATAACAAAAACTAGTAAATAAAGCCACTCTTATTTATTTATTTTTTTGAGACAGAGTTTCGCTTGTGTCACCCAGGCTGGAGTGCAATGGCACGATCTCGGCTCACTGCAACCTCAGCCTCCCAGGTTGAAGTGATCCTCCTGCCTCAGCCTCCTGAATAGCTGGGATCACAGGCACATGCCACCATGCCAATTTTTGTATTTTTAGTAGAGACGGGCTTTCAACATGTTGACCAGGCTGGTCTCGAACTCCTGACCACAGGTGATTGGCCCACCTTGGCCTCCCAAAGTGATGGGATTACAGGTGTGAGCCACTGCACCCAGCCGCCACTCTCATTTTTAAAAATGGACGTCTGTTCGTGAAAAAGGACAGTTGGTTCAGCAAATTTCAGCAAACGATAATCAATAGTACATCTTAAATGGCTTCATCTTTGTAGACTGGTGAAGTTTTGACTGGGTATAGATCCCTGACATTGGAGACCAAAGGAAAGCCTTTAGATGTCATAACTGGATCAGCATGAAGAGAAAGAAACTATAACCAGATCCCTTGAAACAGGAAACTCCAAACCTGATGTGGGTCTCAGGGTTGTATCTATGAGCAGGTGAAATGGCAAGTACATCTAACTAGATATTTTTTCATGAAGATTAAATTATTTTGACCAAAGTTGTACCCAAATGCACATGCCTGGAAGAGCTAACATTTGGGGACAAGCAAGGAGAGGAAAAGGAAACCAACCTTTATGTACAGCCTTTCATGTGCTGGGGAGGTTACATATGTTACCACATTTAATCTTTATAAAATCACTGTGAGTTGAATGTTAATCCCATATTATAAATGATTATAGCAAATAACATTTACTGATTGTTGAGCAGCTACTGCATGCCAAATATTGTGGCAATTATTTAATATATTTATTGGTTTATCATGTTTAATTCTTATAACACCATAGACAGGTATTAATGAACCCATTTTATAGATAAGGAAAATGTGGTTCTGAGAGGTGAACCATTTTGCCTAGTAGCTACAGCCAAAAAGTGATGGAGCTGTTCTTTATTTTAAGGTCCACATACTTTGGGAGGCCGAGGTGGGTGGATCATGAGGTCAAGAGATTGAGAACATCCTGGTCAACATGGTGAAACCCCATCTCTACTGAAAATACAAAAATTAGCTGGGCGTGGTGGCGCACACCTGTAGTCCCAGATACTCCGGAGGCTGAGGCAGGAGAATTGCTTGAACCCAGGAGGCGGAGGTTGCGGTGAGCCGAGATTGCGCCACTGCATTCCAGCCTGGGTAATAAGAGCGAAACTCTATCCCCAAAAAATAAAATAAAGTCCGGATACCCTGGCTCCCTGATCACAGATGGGCAGGATAGGGGTGGAGTGGGGATGGGAGTTGGAGAGTAGAGGTGGCTGCCAGCCACACAAGTTGTGCCAAATCATAGACCGAGGAAAGGTGCTAAATTTGGAATCTGACAAACCAGGGTTTGGTTCTTAGCTCTGACATTTCTAAGCTGTGTGACTTGATCGAGCTCCCTAATTTTTCTTGAAGGTGCACAGCTCACGAAGTTGTTTTGCTTATTAAATGTCATAACACCTCTAAACATCTTAGCAGAGTGCCTAGCGCGTAGTGAGTGTCTGGCTATTGAACTGGAGTTACTTGTTTCTGTCTACTGATTGGATATTGTTTCTGGTGCTTACCCAAGAGTTAATAGCCTGTGACATTGGTATAATTTGTGAAATGATGCTGCCATCTAGTGAAAATCAAGCCCCTGCAAACACATACATGCACTCATACATGGACACCCAGCTTCACCAATGACAATATGGACTGGCACGTTTTAGCCTCAAAACGTAGAGCCCTGGGGCTAACTGGTACCTAGGAGGGTGTCTCAGCTGGTGCTTCCCAAACTACCTGTGCTGAAAAGCCAGTTAAAAACATTTTGAACCCATTGCCCACCAATAATTTTGTGAAATACGATAAACATGAATTACTAGAAAAATGAAATGAAAAAGATGTATAAAATGCAAACCAAAATTTTAGAACTATTATATTCAACATCATAAAATTGCTTTATACGTTTCTGACCAATTATTTTCAGTTTCTGTGCTTATCTCTACGACGTTTGTAGCACACAGCAGACAGCACTCGTCCGTGGATACACCCTAGTAGCTCCCATCTAGCTAAGGCAGCTCCTTATAGTTCATCGATCCTGTCAAACGGGAAAGAGTGGGGAAACCACTGGTCTGCATGTACTTTGTCCTTTATGCAAGGAAATATGCAAATGTGGAAAACGGAACGGCGTGATGCTCAGGAGATTGAGGCTCAGCTAAATCCGGGCTCATACCTGCAGTTGCTTACAAAGTGTTTGGACGTAGTTGTGTAAAGCTAGGATTTTTTTTTTTCTGATTTTTTAAACAGGTAGGGGATGCGAAAGCACCACTTGATAGCATTTCTTCTCAAGTCCAGGTATTAACATCGAATGCCAATCAATTAACTGCTGAGAACATCATTAGTGCTACACAAGTGGTTGGACAGATCTTCAACACATCCAGAAATGCTTCACCTGAGGTAAAACTCACAGAGCTTTTTTTTTCTTTTTTTTTTAAGAGGGGGTGTTGGGAAAGAAAGATGTCCTGAATTCCACTCCTTATTCCATGATATGGATTTGGGCGTGGCTTAGGTGGCTTAGAGCATTTTGCACAGCAATCCTTCTGAGAAATGCTCAAAGAAATAAAATAAGGGCCTCTTGTCCAAATATTTTCCTTTAGTATATTCAAAATGATCATTATTGTAGGTTTGTTTTTTTTTGAGACACAGTCTTGTTCTGTCACCCAGGCTGGAGGGCAGTGGCACCAATCTCAGGTCACTGCAACCTCTGCTTCCCGGGTTAAAGGGTTCAAGTGATTCTCAGGTCTCATTCTCCCAAGCATCTGGGACTACAGGCACACACCACCACACCTGGCTGTCATGTTAAGTCTTTTAGGAAGTCCTGGAATGCATAAGTCTACTTTACCTTATGAATATGTTTACCAACTACATTTGACCTCACCATCCCTAGTGTATTTCAAGTAAATAGTCTTTAAAGAAGTTACTTTGGAACATGTGATTTTTAAAATGTGATCCATTTCTATTAAGCATATTTAAATTTTAGCCTTGGTTTTCTGAAAACCTTAAGCCTCATTTACATTCCTGATATTTTAACCTGTTAAACCCTGGTACTTGAAAACAAGTATACTCAGCATTTACTAATTGGTATAGCTGGACAGTGGTCAATCAGGGCTATAAACCACCAATATGGACTGACCCTGTGTACAGGTTGAATATCAGCATGCCCTGAAAATAGCTACTCCTTCTCCCATTCCCTTTAAATGCCTTATTTCGGAAAAAAAAATGGAAAAGTATTTTTCCTACTGAAAAGTAGGTGGGATTCAAGTCACAAGTTAATAAAAATGGAATTGAAAGAGGCAACATTGACCTCCAAATGTAGAATTAATGGAGGGATTAAGTAATAGGCAGAAGGGCTTCAACACTCCCAAAGAGGGCAGTGAAACAGTAATCAAACGCCAAACGATCATCACTCTGACACACTCCCGAGTTACTGATTGTAAGAAAACTAGAATTAATTTTACCAAGTTTAATAGTTACGCTAAGCCTAACAGTTATACTAAGTGTTGTGAGCTGCAGTTTTTAACCACCAGAATACCACAACCTTCTTATTTTGTTTCTGCTTTTGTATCAACCATTTGATTTCGCGTTCTTGGATTCTGTGAAAGATCTTGCTATGAGCTTAAATTCAGAGACTTAAGCCTCCTAATTAACTACCTTAATGTATATTTTCACTTTGGCTTATCTTGATTCTCTCTGTCATCTTACGTGGATCAAAAAATAAATCTTTAATTTTGTAAAATGCCTGCCTCTATGTTATCATATCAGTGATGCCCCTTGCTACTATAATGATTCCTGTTGATAACGGTGGTGACGATGCTGTATGATGTATGCTTCTCTGATGATCAGTATCTTCTTCTTGGCAGGCAAAGAAAGTTGCTGTAGTAACAGTGAGTCAACTCCTAGATGCCAGTGAAGATTCTTTTCAAAGTGCTGTTGCTACTGCTAACGATGATCCCCTTACAACGTAAGCACAAATTCAATTTGGAAAGAAAACTGGACTAAGCGCTGTTTACTTTTCTAGGATAAAGTATTAACAGAGACGTCTTTATTTCTCTCGTGGATGCAGTAACTGGCTGATTCCCCTGGAAGGCAGACAACAGCCATGACTTCCCACTTGATCTTCAGTTACTAGATGGAGTGGTGTATGTTACCTCCTAGATCCAGGGGTGCTGGCTGTGGTCTGGGAGATGGAGAGTAACTGGGGTGATTTAGACTAGAACTTGTTTTTCTCATTGTAGTTTAACATGGCCAAGGGGCAACTTACATGCATGGCAAGACCTCTTCCAACTTCTTTTGCAACACTTAGAGCTGCAGAGAACAGCTCACTTTGCAGGGCACACTGCCACCCCCCAAGCTGCACCTCACGTTTCTCTTTCCAAGACCCTGGTGTGTTTTGATTATTTTCCTTAGGTTTTCCAATAATGTCTTCTTGACCTCTTTGTGGAACACGTGATAGGGGTGCCCCATTTACTCAGCCCGCCCCGCTCAACCCCTTATGGGAGGGAACATGTAGGTGAGCAAGTGTGGGAACCAACCAGTTGCTTCCCCACTGGCAGGAGCAAACTCTGTGCAGGTCCCGCAGCAGCGTCCAGCTGGGGTACCTGCAACCCCAAGACCACAGAGGGTGTGTTACAATGCTCTCTTATCTCCACTATCCATGGATAGCAGTGTGTTATCAGTCCAGAGGACTCTTTGCCTCACCACACGGGGTGGCTGCCCTCTGCCAGTGAGGCCAAAGGGCCAGTGTGACAGCCTTTTTGGGTCCCCGCACTTGCTGGGTCCTGAATTCTTGTCCAGTGCCAAGAAGAATGAGGTCATGTGGACAAATTGAAGGATGCTGAATGCAGAGAATTTCATTAAACTCAAGTAAGCATACATGCTCATTGTAGAAACATAAGAAAATAGGTAGCTTAGCAAATTTAAAAAATTATCTTACCTTTATTAGCCTATTTGTGTATATTCCAGGTGTTTTTCCTTTGTTTCTCTCTCTGCGTTTGTGTGTCTGTCTGTATGTATATGTATATTACATACTATATTGATTCATAACTTGCTTTTGTCAATACCTTACAAACATCTTCTTCATAAACATCTTTTATATGAATATGTATACATCTACATCATACTTTTAGATTACTACATTATATGAGTAAACTTTTATTGAAACAGTTCTTTGCTCTTCAGCTGGACAAATACATCCCTGGAAGTCTTTTAATGCTCTAAGTAATCAGCATTCTGGTACATAATCTTTATTTACATGACTCATTATTTCCTCAGGAGAAATTCTCAGAAGTAGTTCTTAGTTTTCTAATGATTACAACCAGTACCTACTTAGTATTGAAATTTGAAAGTAGAAAAAGCACAAAGGCACAAAACAGAGCATTCAAAAGAGTGTAATTCTGAGAGCTGGTGGTAGAGGTTGAATGAACAGTTTTACTGGTGTCCTTTGTGACTTCAGATTTCAATAGGAGTCTGGGCCCTTCTCATGGAGAATATAAATGTCTCTCATTTTTCTTTACATATGAGAAGGAATTGCCCACGGGGTCCAGAGTTTGTGTTCAGTGAAAAGAAATTCCAAGAGCCAGAGTGGGCTCCCTTCAGAGCTGAAAGTTTTGTGTTTGCAGAGTCTTGCTAGAGGGGAGGAACGGATGTTTTTTATGAGAAAGCTGAGAAAACAGAAGTTGTGGGATTTGAACATCACAGGTCACAAAGCAGATAGGAATATTTTCCTCAAACTAAATAATTATGAATTTTACTGGCTTAATATATAAAGGAAAAAACAATTTTGTCTGATTTATATGCAATATCCAAATCGTTTTAAGGAGGTAGTTAGAAGATAAATAAAAATTTAAAGTACAGGATACATTGAACTATAAAATGGTATAAGCACGTTCAATTCCTCCTTTAACCGCTCTGAATTTCGAGTCCACTTATTTTCCATTAATGGTCTATCAGTTTATCCTGCACCATGTGATCTTTGTCATAAGCTGTCTTGGACTCAGATCCTTTCTTCAGTCACTTAGATAAGGCTTCCTCCTCTGCCTCTATCCTCAAAGTCAGGTCACCAACCCTTTAGGTTTCTTTATCATCTCTCCACAACAAGGAAATTAAGGGTTGTTCAGGACAATCCTTGGTTTCCAAACTCCATTCTTCTGAACGTAGGCCGGGTGCAGGATTCCCCGACAGGCACCAGGCCTTAGTCATCCATTTCACTTCACTTCTTCCTTCTTTCATTCCGGTTTTCTCTTGGTGTCTCTAGTCTCGCAGCTACCAAATTCCCTTTCTATAGTATAGGGAGAAGTGGGGAGGGTGAGAACACAAAGGAGGAGAGTGACAGGAAGGAAGGAGTCCACCCCAGCTTCAGCCATCTCAAGTTGTCATAGGGAAGGTCTCTAGTGTCCATTGTCTTTCTCTAAATTGGGTAGAGGCAGAATGTCAAAGTGGACAGAGCTCTGGAGGTGTAGCTAGGGTTTCTGCTGGTGAGGGCATCATAGTACAATCAATGAGGACTTCACCATTTTTTTTCTTCTCTTTTTTTTTTTTTTTGAGACAGAGTCTTACTCTGTCATTTAGGATGGAGTACAGTGGCATGATCTCGGCTCATCCCAACCTCCGCCAATCAGGTTCAAGTGATTCTCCTGTCTCAGACTCCCTATAGCTGGGGTTACAGGCATGTGCCACTATGCCCAGCTAATTTTTGTATTTTTAGAAGAAACAGGGTTTCACCATATTGACCAGGCTAGTCTCAAACTCGTGACCTCAGGTGATCCGCCCTCCTTGGTCTCCCAGAGTGCTGGGATTACAGGCATGAGCCACTGCGATGGGCTGATGTCACCATTTTGGACACTGGCTGCAAAGTCTGATCTATAACCTTAGAACTTTGCTTTCATAGTGAAGGTCTTGGTTTACCTGACTTTGAGAACCAAAATGCCTCCCTGGCACTGACCACCCTGTACATTTACATTTCACTTTTCTTTTTGTATTTCTGTTTCCAGCTAGCCTGGCATCCACTCAAATTATCTTGACCAAATAGAGATTTCTTGTAAATAGGCATTTGGGGTCTCATGGAGGTCCCAAGAACTGGATCATAATATAGTGGGCCTTGTCCATCCAACATAATCAAAAAGGTCAGAATCTAGTTTAAAGAGAGTTCATTCAAGTGCAAGGTTTAAGGACAGCTGCCTGGGAAGCACAGATTTCAAAAAATGGAAGTCAGTGGTTTGAAGCATGTAAGTTTAGGATCATTTATATAAACAAAATTCAGGGAAGTTTAACAGAGTTTCAGCATCTTTCTATATAAGGCTTAATGCATGGTTGTAATGATCTGATTAGCCGAGCTGGTCTTTTTCTTTCAGGAAAGGTATGTTTAACATTCCACACTGAAGATGTCACAATGACACTGGATACGTAACAATTATGAGCCATTTGGTTTGAGTTAGGTACAGGACAAAAAGGAGGCAGTTAATCTATAACGTAAATCCGTCATTAGAAAGGGGAAAGGTCTGCTCTCTGGCCTCTCCTACTCATTTACGAACAAGAACAATGAGGAAGAGAGTTAATCTATAATCTAAGAAGTAGAAGCTACAAACATGCTCCAAGTGATTCAATCTCCAGGGATTAACTTCCTGGACATAATAAATTTAGAGGGTCCTGAAATTTTATTTTCTTTTATTGCCATATGGACCCAGGAAGAATGACTGAGGATTCAAAGCAGCTTTGTAAGTCTTAGTAGAGGAGTTTATCGATCTTTTCTTATTTTCAACAGGAAGAATTAGCCTCTTAGTTTTAAATTGTATTTTTTTCTTACAATGATATAATGTCCTCTCTGGCTCCAAGTTATGACTTTTCTGATATAACTACAGCACTAATTTAAAAAATCCTGTGTCCAAGAATCTGATGACTTATTGTGGTCCATTGTACCAGGTTGATGGCCACTTTCTGGGTTAGCTCCTCTGAGGCAGGTGCCCATCTGTAATCTTATCAGTTATGACAAGTGGAGGGAAAATTATACGGAAGAAAAAATGACCTTAGAAGTAGCTGTGCTTGGAGCAACCCGGTACTGGGAAAATGAAAAACACCTCTGCTATACCTACCACGTCTTTCCTTTTAGCCTGCAAATGCCTGAGGGAGCAGCTCCTGGTACTCCCACTTTTCACAGAGTGCTGGCCTCTCAGTAGGTACTCAACAGTTACTATTAGGTAGAATGATATTCTTTGCAAATTGGAGGTGTTTTTTTTTTTTAGGTATTCCTCCTGTTGAAAGCAGTTCTGGGGTATGTGTGAATTTCTAAAAATGGTTTTATAAAAGGAAAACGTTTGAAGCAGAGGATCTAATCTGAATGTTTCCGTACGAATGATGATTACGTTCTTTTTATAAAGCAACCCTCAATTCTTGTAAACTTTCTATTTATCTCATTTAGAGGTAGAAAAAAGATATTTTAGTGAGAGAAATAAAGATTTGGCATTTAGAACAACTACATTCTGATGAAATCCTTTCATTTCTGGAAAAACCGGACTGATTATTTTACATACAGAGGTTTTGTTTGGTCAAGTACAGAAATAATAGTTCAAATATTTCTACGAGAAACAAGAAAAAGAAAAGGTCTTATGACTTTTCTTTGGAGAACACCAAATTGACACTCCCTCCCACCTTCCATCTAATCTATCTTTCAACTTAGTCAAAGTAGAAAAGAACATTGTGTAAACCTTCAGGGCTTAGTTCATAGCTGAGGCAATGAGCTCAGAGCTCTGCTCTTTGGTGGCTCCATCTGAACTGTCACCTCAGGAACGAACAACTTTCAAAACATGCTTTGGATCCTAAGAAGTTTGAGTGAGAGGAAGAAGATCAATAAATGGAAACGGATTCTCACTACTGGAGAAACAATTAGAAGTGCACGCCTTGCCAATGCTGGGTGGCAACACCATCCTTCTATGCCAAAAGCATCATAGTAAAGACTATTTCTTCTGGGAAATCTATCATTCTTGAATTCTACCTTTTTGCCATCTATGTTCAAGGTGGTCTTCAGTGAGGACTATCCCCCAGAATTTTTTTTTAAGTGCATGTAACATACCATGACTCCAGAGAAGTAAATCAATCATCAATTGTCAATTGCCAGGCAATTGTCAATGTTGTCATGACCACACAATTCTATGCTCATGTTTTTTGGCTGTAGTGTAAGAGAGAACACATACCTTTGATTTTATGACAAAATCTTGAGTATTAAGTTGTGTTTTATTATATGCAGGCTTATTGAGCAAATGGAGGATTATTCCTTGTCTTTGGGTGATCAATCAGTGGTGGAACCTAACATCGTGATACAGTCAGCAAATTTATCTGCAGAAAATATGCCTTCAAGTGTTCGCTTCTCTGTGCAGAAAGGTGAGCTGTTAATCTTGTGTGCTTGTAATGGCAAAGAGCATTCTGCTACCGATGATGAATAATGCTCTGCGCACGATAATATAGACTTTTACAATTCTACTCTTTCCCTTCTCATAGGAGCTAGTGGTTCCCTAGTTTCTGGTTCAACATTTATACAAACAAACGTGAGCGGCCTTAATCCAGATGGAAACACTGAACTGCAGATTTTGCTTAACATGAAAAATGGTAGGTCTCAAACTTTGTTACATTAAAAAAGAATGGACTAGAATTCATGGAACTAACTTCTAATTTACTGAGGAAGAAATAATGTACTTAGTTTGATACAGAGTAATTTGCATTTGAGTATGTTTGAGTTCTGACATATTATGGTAATCACTCTACTATTCTAAGTCATAATTTCTTTTTCTTTTCTCAAAAACGTTTTGGAAAGTAACAGAATTGAAATGCCCAGGCCATGCACACAGATATGTTTTCCTGCAAAAGTCTTACTAAGGTGGTTCTGCTTGTACATTTACACATTAAAAACATACTGAATCACAAGCTCAGACCATGTTTACTAGTGGCATGACACTCTCAGGCTCAGATTCATCCTGCACACCTGACCCTGGAAAAGTCTATGTAATTGGCACAGTCATTATTTAGCAGTATCAGTTTTAGGTTATTACCACCTCTCTGTGGTGCCCACTGTGTGCGCACTGTCATCCTGCATATAACCTTTAAGAAATTCTTACATGTAACTTGAAGTGGTTGTATTTTTCAAAGTCTAAAAAAAATAAGTGAATCAAACACATACACTTACTTTTCATTTCTTCTCAAAGAAAAAAACCCAATGCCAGAAAGTTTATGTGTTAGACAGAATGCATTTATAACAGCAACTAAAAAAGAAGAGAGTATTATCCATGAATCTGGCACTCTGGAATTTTGCTCTCATTTGCTTTGGCCACATGCTTTGTGATGGTAGAAACTAAATCTAAGTCGTCTATGTCCTTGTGCATTTTTTCTTTTAATTTTAAAATACTTCATGCATATGGAAAAGTACAGTAAGTAATGTCAGCAGTACCTATGAACTTACCAGCAAAGTAATGTCAATTTTTGCTGTATTTGCTTCCGATCTCTAAAAAAGAGAGTGACGATATTACAGTTGCACCTGAAGCCCTCGACCTTATCCGTTCCCATTCCCCCTCCTTAGAAATTACATCTTTCTGAAGTTGTTGTGTATCATTTTCATAGCTGTGTTTAAACTTTTGTTGTATACTTATGTATCCATAAACAAAATATCCTATATGAGGAGATGTTTTTAAATATTTACATAAATTTTATCCTGTTGTATAGAACTTTTAAACAAAAACTTACCCTTTTTTGAAGGTGTATCTGTGGGTTATCAAACTTATTAACTTTTGTCTAATTGATAATATGAAACATATATTGTTAATTTCCTTTTGCAACTTGAAAGTTCAATGGTATGATATGATTGCTTAGCTTTTCTCTCCCTTGATTTGAGCGTCTTTCCATGTGTTTATTAGACATTCAGATTTCCCAATCTGGGACTCACCATTTCAAACACTGATCATTTTTCCATTGGATAGTTTATCTTTTTCTTATTGGCCATTAGAAATTCTTTTTAAATTCTGAAAATTAATTCTTCATTGATTATATAAATATCTTCACTCCAGACTCCAGTTATCTTTCTGATGTTTTTAGTCACACCAAAACTTTAATTTGTAGTGTATCAATGTACCCAATGTATCAGTCTTTTCTTGTATAATTGGTACTTTGTGTCTTTTTTATGCGTGATGCTTCCCTATTCTAAAGTCATCATAATGGTCTCTTACATTTTCTTCCGAACATATTTAGTGTTTGTATTTATATGTGTGTTTACAGTGCACTTAGAATTCATTTTTGTGTTTGGTAAAATGTAGAAATCTAATTTTTTAATTTCATATAAATAATCAATATAGTCTATGAATTAAAAACACTATTGTAGAGACAGAGAACCAGTTGGACAGAAAGAGACACATTTTTATATTTGTTAAAAAAACGAGTCTCCAGGCTGGACATGGTGGCTCATGCCTGTAATTCCAGCACTTTGGGAGGCCAAGGCGGCCGGATCACAAGGTCAGGAGATCGAGACCATCCTGGCCAATATGGTGAAACCCCATCTCTCCTAAAAATACAAAAATTCGCTGGGTGTGGTGGTGTGCACTTGTAATCCCAGCTACTCAGGAGGCTGAGGCAGGAGAATCGCTTGAACATGGGGGTGGAGATGGCAGTGAGCCGAGATCGTGCCACTGCACACTAGCCTGGCGACAGAGCAAGACTCCATCTCAAAAAAAACTGGTCTCGCCTCACTCGCCGTAGACGACCTGCTTTTCCGCGCGCACGCCCTGCCGCCGCCCCGCAGAAATGTTTCGGTTACCCACCGTCTTTCGCCAGATGAGACCGGTTTCCAGGGTCCTGGCTCCTCATCTCACTCGGGCTTACGCCAAAGATGTAAAATTTGGTGCAGATGCCCGAGCCTTAATGCTTCAAGGTGTAGACCTTTTAGCTGATGCCGTAGCTGTTACAATGGGGCCAAAGGGAAGAACAGTGATTATTGAGCAAAGCTGGGGAAGTCCCAAAGTAACAAAAGACGGTGTGACTGTTGCAAAGTCAATTGACTTAAAGGATAAATATAAAAATATTGGAGCTAAACTTGTTCAAGATGTTGCCAATAACACAAATGAAGAGGCTGGGGATGGCACTACCACGGCTACTGTACTGGCACGCTCTATTGCCAAGGAAGGCTTCGAGAAGATTAGCAAAGGTGCTAATCCAGTGGAAATCAGGAGAGGTGTGATGTTAGCTGTTGATGCTGTAATTGCCGAACTCAAAAAGCAGTCTAAACCTGTGACCACCCCTGAAGAAATTGCACAGGTTGCTACAATTTCTGCAAATGGAGACAAAGAAATTGGGAATATCATCTCTGATGCAATGAAAAAGGTTGGAAGAAAGGGTGTCATCACAGTAAAGGATGGAAAAACACTGAATGATGAATTAGAAATTATTGAAGGCATGAAGTTTGATCGAGGCTATATTTCTCCATACTTTATTAATACATCAAAAGGTCAGAAATGTGAATTCCAGGATGCCTATGTTCTGTTGAGTGAAAAGAAAATTTCTAGTGTCCAGTCCATTGTACCTGCTCTTGAAATTGCCAATGCTCACCGTAAGCCTTTGGTCATAATCGCTGAAGACGTTGATGGAGAAGCTCTAAGTACACTTGTCTTGAATAGGCTAAAGGTTGGTCTTCAGGTTGTGGCGGTCAAGGCTCCAGGGTTTGGTGACAATAGAAAGAACCAACTTAAAGATATGGCTATTGCTACTGGTGGTGCAGTGTTTGGAGAAGAGGGATTGACCCTAAATCTTGAAGACGTTCAGCCTCATGACTTAGGAAAAGTTGGAGAGGTCATTGTGACCAAAGATGATGCCATGCTCTTAAAAGGAAAAGGTGATAAGGCTCAGATTGAAAAACGTATTCAAGAAATCATTGAGCAGCTAGATGTCACAACTAGTGAATATGAAAAGGAAAAACTGAATGAACGGCTGGCAAAACTTTCAGATGGAGTAGCTGTGCTGAAGGTTGGTGGGACAAGTGATGTTGAAGTGAATGAAAAGAAAGACAGAGTTACAGATGCCCTTAATGCTACAAGAACTGCTGTTGAAGAAGGCATTGTTTTGGGAGGGGGTTGTGCCCTGCTTCGGTGCATTCCAGCCTTAGACTCATTGACTCCAGCTAATGAAGATCAAAAAATTGGTATAGAAATTATTAAAAGAACACTCAAAATTCCAGCAATGACCATTGCTAAGAATGCAGGTGTTGAAGGATCTTTGATAGTTGAGAAAATTATGCAAAATTCCTCAGAAGTTGGTTATGATGCTATGGCTGGAGATTTTGTGAATATGGTGGAAAAAGGAATTATTGACCCAACAAAGGTTGTGAGAACTGCTTTATTGGATGCTGCTGGTGTGGCCTCTCTGTTAACTACAGCAGAAGTTGTTGTCACAGAAATTCCTAAAGAAGAGAAGGACCCTGGAATGGGTGCAATGGGTGGAATGGGAGGTGGTATGGGAGGTGGCATGTTCTAACTCCTAGAATAGTGCTTTACCTTTATTATTGAACTGTGACAGGAAGCCCAAGGCAGTGTTCCTCACCAATAACTTCAGAGAAGTCAGTTGGAGAAAATGAAGAAAAGGCTGGCTGATGTTTAAGACATCACTATAACCATCAGTTACTGGTTTCAGTTGACAAAATACATAATGGTTTATTGCTGTCATTGTCCATGCCTACAGATAATTTATTTTGTATTTTTGAATAAAAAGACATTTGTACATTCCTGATACTGGGTACAAGAGCCATGTACCAGTGTACTGCTTTCAACTTAAATCACTGAGGCATTTTTACTACTATTCTGTTAAAATCAGGATTTTAGTGCTTGCCACCGCCAGATGAGAAGTTAGGCAGCCTTTCTGTGGAGAGTGAGAATAATTGTGTACAAAGTAGAGAAATATCCAATTATGTGACAACCTTTGTGTAATAAAAATTTGTTTAAAGTTAAAAAAAAAAAAACTGGTCTCCAAAAATATCTGTAGTTTAATTATTTATTCTCCTAAAAGGCATCATCAAGATGTCTTTTAGAAGGATAAATAATTCTCCTAAAAGACATCTCCAAATACATGGGGAATTCAGAAAATGCCACTATAGGGACAGATTTTAGTGCAACTATCCCAGAAATTGAAAATCAAGTAGGCAAAAATAATAAACTTGACCTTTATATATACTCATGTGTATGTAATTTTGTTGTAGAAAGAGAACAGATAATACAATTTCTTTTAAAATATCCATGGAGTATGTTAAAAACTGACCATTTACTAGTCCACAAAGAAAAACTTACATATTTTGTAAAATAGAAGTCATATAGGACATAGCTCCTGACCACAATGCAATCAAACTAGAAGTGTACTTTAAAAGAATAGCTAAAATTCTAACCAATTAGAAAAATTTTAAATGCCATTATGAGAGAGAAAATTAAACTGCAGATTACAAATTATTTGAAAATTAATGGGAATGAAAACATCACATCTACCTGTCGGATGTGGACAAAGAGGCATTTAAAAGAAAATGTGTATCCTTTAAAAATGTATTATAAAATAAAATGAGTTGTTAAAAAATTTTAAGCATTAGCTAAGGAAGCATGAAAAATGCAAAATCAATTTCATGAAAAGATGAAGCAAGCTTCTGACAAATTTGATCAAGGAAAAAATGAGTGAGAGAATATAAATAAAGAGACATCAAGGACGTATATCTAGAAATATGGAGATTTTAAAAAAACATTTCAATATAGTAGTAGATGTAATTTCTTCTAATGATTCTGCGTATCTATAAAAATAATCATTTTCTAATAAATGATCAAATTACTGTAGAAATGAAGAGGGGGTGAGCAACACTCTAATTAAAAAAATATCTTCTGGCTGGGCGCTGTGGCTCACACCTGTAATCCCAGAGCTTTGGGAGACTGAGGTGGGTGGCACCTGAGGTCAGAAGTTTGAGACCAACGTGGCCAATATGATGAAACCCCTTCCATACAAAAAATTAGCTGGGCATAGTGGCGGGTGCCTATTATCCCAGCTACTAGGGAGCGTGAAGCAGGAGAATCACTTGAACCTAGGACGTGGAGGTTGCAGTAAGCTGAGGTCGCGCCATTGAACTTCAGTCTGGGCAACAAGAGTGAAACTGCATCTCAAAAAAAAAAAAAAGTGTTCTATGGATTTGAATTTTACATCAAGCATGTAATTTTTTGATTTTTATTTTATTATTTTATTTTATTTTAGAGACTGGGTCTCGCTCTGTCACCCAGGCTGGAGTGCAGTGGTACGATCACAGGTCACTGCAGCCTTGACCTCCCAGGCTCAAGCAATCCTCTCGTCTCATCCTCCTGAGTAGGTAGGATCACAGACATGTGCCACCATAACTGGGCATTTTTTTTTTCAGTTTTTTTGTAGAGATGGGGTCTCCTATCTTGGACTGGTCTCGAACTCCTGGGCTCAAGCAATCCTCCCACTACAGCCTCCCAAAGTACTAGGATTATGGGCATGAGCCATGCACCCAGCCTATTTTTTTTTTTTTTTTTGAGACAGGGTCTCACTCTGTTGCCCAGGATGACAGGCAGCAGCATGATCACAAATCACTGCAGCCTTAACCCCCCAAGATGAAGCAATCCTCCAGCCTCAGCCTCCTAAGTAGGTGGGACTATAGGTGTGACCTGCTAGTTTTTTTTTTTTTTTTAATTTAAAAAAGTTTTGGTAGAGACAGAATCTCGCTATGTTGCTGAGGCTGGTCTCAAACTCCTGGACTCAAGTAATCCTCCTGCCTCAACCTCTTAAAGTGTTGTGATTATAGCCATGAGCCACTGCGCTTCATCTCATTCTTTTATTTTTAAAGAAAGAATAAAAAGAAACCTTGCTGCATTTTTAGGGTTAACTTTCCATTTAGTGTACAGGAGAAGCAATCTGGTGATGTCCATGTGGCATGAACAAAAGTCAGCAACCCATCTCTTTCTCTCCAGGTGGAGGCTCCAGCAACAGCTGCAGAGGAAGACAATTTGGGGGCTGTGGGGTCTCGCATGTCTCCCTCTCAAATCACATGACTGAGTACTTTGGTTTCACACCACGGCATTTTCCTTTTATCGCTTGTGAAAGACAACAGAGTTTAGGAAATTAATTCAGTTAAAATGTAAACTGTTGATGCTTCTGCTGTTTTAGATACGCCAAGAGTTGTATAAAGTGTTAGTCCTGGTTCTCTTTTACTGCTGCCACCAATGGGCTGGGTGCAAAACCCTCTGCAGCAGTGATGGTCTTTCAGGATCGTTGATGAACAGCTGATTACCTTTGCCAATGTCTAGAAGATGTTTCACAGTAGCCTGTTAGCCTTGGGAAAAGCCCATGATTGTCGTGACAGCAGAGAACAATAGTTCAAGAGATGGTGAAGAGTGCCTACATCAAAAACTCCACAGAAAAAGACTTGAACTCCTTGCTCCGTGACTTAACACCACTAGTCCCCTTTGAACAGGAGACTGGGCTCAAGGGGTGCTTTTCTGGGCTCAGCCATCCTGGTGTCCCAGCTTTGCTGTTTCCTGTCTCATATCCTATCAGTCAGGGAGGCAACATGGGCTGGGGCTACCACATGTGGCGTTCACTTTCTCCATCTCTCATGCATAAAGCAAGATGTTTACTTTATACGTGAGATCCTTGCAATACCTTTTTGAGGTGGATTAGGCAGAAATTCTTGTTCCTATGTAGAAGGTAAGGAAAGTGAAGCTCAGAAAAAAAATTAATATGGGTGGAATGGCCCACCATGGGTTATATGTGTTAATTACGTATTTCAGTTAAGTAAAGTTTCAACCAGTAAACCATTTTTACTGTACTTTACTCAAATATTAAGCAGCCATGCACTTCTACAATAACATGAGATCTTGTTTTCTGTTTACCCTACAGTTCACTTATTGATTTTAATGTCGTTTTCTCCCTACAGGGGGAAACGCCAAGGCATGTGGCTTTGTAGTTTATCAAAATGACAAGCTTTTCCAATCAAAAACTTTTATAGCTAAATCAAGTTCTAGTCAAAAAATTATCTCAAGCAAAACTGATGGAAATGAGCAAGGTCAGAGTGCTTCTGTTGAAATGGCCTTTAGTCCAAAGGTGAGTTTTTCATTACAGATGCAAGAAAAAAGTGTCCTCATGCTTTCTGGCCTTCGGTCTTTCTGAAGGTGGCAGCTGAGACTGAATAGAGTCATACAGGGGAAGAGATTAGGAGGAATGGGGCGTTTTCCGTGAACAGAAATAATAAAAATTCAGACCACTCTTGAATACCAAAAGCAGGAGTATTTCAAGTAAAAGAAATCTACAGCAAAACTCTTTAAAAGATTCTTTGATGTATCCATTTAAATATTTCTCCCAACCATATCTTTTGTCAAACTAACTAAATGCAAAGTTAACTAACTTAGATTTGACGTCTTTTTTTCCCTCTCTTTAATCTATAATGGATGTGCTAATGCTTAGTGTATATTTATTCATTTCTCAGACGACTGTCTTATATTACTTGATTTTAGCCCAATTAAGCATTTAGAAATAGTGATTGTAATTGTCTTATCAATTCACAGTACAACCGAGATGAATATCAACTCAATTCCTATGCCTGTGTCTATTGGAATTTTGCAACTAAGGACTGGGACACATATGGCTGTCACAAAGAAAAGGGCACTGATGGATTTCTGCACTGCCACTGCAACCATACTACTAATTTTGCTGTATTGATGGTAAGAATGTACATAGTAATCTCTTTCCAGGCGAGAATCTTCGTCATACACAATTCTAGTATGTGCTCCTTGGAAATAACTTTGGGATTTAGTTTACATAGATTCTCAACTCAGATTAAATGGAAAAACAGGAAATAAAATAATAGGACTAAAAAGTAAAGCGCTGGTAAAGGCAAGCAGAATAGAACTTTTTGCTACGTGTCTTAGGGTAGAGAGGTCAGCACTATGTATTTGATCCTGGGAAGGGAGCCCATGTGCGAAGGAAAAGCTGATGAACTCCATTCAACTAACTCACATGTTCTGAAGCATAACGTTGTTATAGCCAGGGGTAAGGCTGTATAACTGTGTGTCAGAGACAGGTTCAATACATACTTACCTATATGTGAATAGTTTAAATCAGTTACCCAAAGCTTTTCCCATTGAAATTGCTCAGGTTACTAAGTGTTTGCTAGAAGACATAAAAGAAAAAGCTCTTTAATTCCTTCAATCGGTCCCCTAGTTTCTCCATGTATTCCTGAATTCTTTTACCTCTAAAAGAATTTTAGAGGTAAAAGAATTTTACGCCGTGCAAGTAACTGATACCACTTAGCTCTGGTGTGCAGCTGTGCATGCATCTCTCAAAGTTCTTATGCTGACCCTTGCGAGAAGAAGGGCTTCTGTATGATTTCTATTATTTCAATGAAACACAAATGTTAGTTAATGTGCTGGATGGAATGCTTTTATACACAATGGAATGGGGAGTTATGGGAGAGTGTGCTTCTCCTTAGTAAGGGACTATTGATGCTATGACTCTCCCAAGGAGAGGCAGATGTTTTCATTCCCCAGTAGCTATAATGTAGCCATATTTAGGAAGCCAGTGGAGATTGGTAGAACATACTGGGTATGGCTTACATTATCAAAGCACAGAACCTTGCTTTTTAAAACTTCTCGAGATAACTAGTTTTCTCATTTTAATGATAAAAGCTCTATTATTTTAATTCACTTGGATTATTTCTTTTCTAACTTGTATTACAGAGAGATCTGCCTTATCCATCAGGAGATACAGAAGAAAAGTTTAATTTTTTAATATCTTAAAGTCATAGAATCATTGAATAGCTATGTAAAGCACAGGCTGTTATACATGTTAAATGATACGGATTACTTTATTATACTTATATTTTCCCTTTTTTGAGGACAGGCTCTAGCTATTTCTTCTCACTAGTATCTAACTGCCTCAATCCCTACATGCTACATTTGTAATTAGTTTTGGTTTGCAATATATATATTTTTAAGTGGCTAATGAAAATTGCATGTAAAGTAAGAACAAACTGGCTCTGAGTGAAGGGATTATTTTTAAAATCTGAAGACCTATGTATCTTATGTTTTTTGCATCTATTAGTATACTACACACAAGAAATAATGTAAAATTTTTGTTTTATTCTTTTTAAATGTGTATTTTGTTTTTATTTTATTTCTATTAAAGCAATACACAGTCATTGCACAATGCATAAAAGTGTTTAATAAAAATATACTGATATGGAAAAATGTTTATGGAAAAGTAAAATGGCAATTCAAGCATAATGCTATTATGTTAGTGAACCTCTGTATGTTTGNGAGTCTCACTCTGTGGTCCAGGCTGGAGTGCAGTGGCATAATCTCAGCTCACTGCAACCTCTGCCTCCCGAGTTCAAGCAATTCTCCTGCCTCAGCCTCCCGAGTAGCTGGGATTATAGGTGCCCACCAGCATGCCTGGCTAGTTTTGGTAATTTTAGTAGAGATGCGGTTTCATCATGTTGGACAGGCTGGCCTCAAACTGCTTACCTCAAGTGATCCGCCTGCCTTGGCCTCCCAAAGTGCTGGGGTTACAGGTATGAGCCACTGCGCCCAGCAAGACATGTTTTTAAGTCTATTAATTTTTGCTACTTTTTTTCTTTAAAACCATTTCTTTTAAATTATGGAGTTCAAAGTAGAACACAGAGCTCTAACAAATGCTAACTGTTGCTTTTTGTTTTCTGTGAGTTATATGACTGAATATGGACAGAGGATTCAATATTTTCTCCAGTATTGCCCCAACCAATTTGGGGGAGGTATTAATTTTTAAAAATTATTTTCTCATTTTTCTCTTCTAGATGAATATGAAAATAGGAAAAGGGTGGTTGGATGTTGGAAATTTTTTAATTGCTGATGAATGTTTTCAAGCTGCTGAGGTGGTAAGTTACCATTGATTTTTAGCTGAGGCAATTATTAGTAGTAATATCTGTGGTTATTCTCATTGTTACATTGTACTGTGGTTTTACTTTCCAGAGTCTGGAGCAATTATACACGAAATTAATTCAGAGGAGCTCCCCTGAGACTGACTTGACCTTGGAGAAGATGGCTGTTGAGAAAGACCACTTCAGAGTGCTTTCTTACCAAGCAGAGTCAGTAGGTATCATGGGCACCAGGGCCTTCCAGTGGGGCATTTTCCTTGTGTAAATGTAAAAATGATGATATATAGCCTATTGGAAGAAAGTCAGATGTCACTGCCTTTTATAGGCATTAATTTGACCTTTTTATCTCTGTCATATCTGAAGGTGATGTTAGTAATGCTGATTGAAATCTGTGGGGTGGCTAAGGGTGAGAAGACTAATATACAGCTAAACATCATTTTCAACCCCTGCATGTAACATCTGTCATTTATTTATGGCAGCAATCCCTACTTAAAACACCTGTCTCTGTGACTCTCTCTTACATTCACAGTCTGCCTAAAATATTTGCCTGAAAAGAGCCTTTTCATTTGCCGTTGTTCTGAGTTGTCTATTGATGCTTTCTAAAAGCCTACTGCGATCACACACCATTTAAAGTTATACTTTACCTCTGTTTATCTTGTGGGTTTCCTCCTTTTGTCATTATACACTTAGGTGTGCATTTGAGCTATGATGAGTTTGCTTTCTGTTATTACACAATTTTGGAAATGAAAAATCCCCAGCTGGGCATGGTGGCTCATGCCTGTAATCCCAGCACTTTAGGAGGCTGAAGTGGAAAGATTGCTTGAGCCCAGGAATTGGAAACCAACCTGGACAGCATAGTGAGACCCCATCTCTACCAAAAAAATAAAAGCAAAAAATTAACTAGGCTTCAAGGTGTGCACCTGTAGTCCTGGCTATTAGGGAGACTGAGGCGGAAGGATCCCTTTGAGCCTGGGAGTCTGAGGTTACAGTGAGCTATGATTATGCCTCTGCACTCCAGCCTGGGTGACAGAACTAGACTCTGTCTCAAAAAAACAAACAAAACAACAACAAAAAAGAAAAGTCCTTTTTTAAATTTTTAACGTATTTATTGAGATATAAGTCGTATACCATAAAATTCACCCATTTACACTGTATAATTCAGTAATTTAGTATATTCACAGAATTGTGCAATGTTCGCCACAAGCTGTGTTTAAAACATAATTGTCACCCCAAAAAGAAACCCCCATCAACATTAGCAGTCATTCCTCATTGCTTCTGACCCTAGCTCTAGCAACCAAAATGTATTTTCTGTCTCTATAGATATGCCTGTTTTGGACATTTCATATTAACAGAATCATGCAGTAAGTGGTCTTTTGTGATTAGCTGTTTTCACTTAGCGTAATTGCTTTAAAGATTCATCAGTGTTGTTGCATGTTTTGCTGTATGAATATGCCATGTTTTGTTTATGCATTCATCTACTGGTGAACATTTGAGTTGTTTCCAATTTTTGGGTATTGTGAACAATTCTAATGTGAACATTCATGTACAGTGTGTGTACATATGTTTTTAATTTTCTTTTGTATATAGCTAGGGGTGGAATTGCTGTGTAGCATGGTAATTCTTACTCCATGTTTAACCTTTTGGGAAACTGCCAGAATGTTTTCCATAGTGACTGTACTATTTGACACTCCCCCCAGTAATATATGAGGGCTTCAACTTCTCTACATCTGAAAGTTTTATAGTTTTCGCACTTACACTTAGATCTACTATGGTCCATTTTAAGTAAATTTTCAGGTATGGTGGGAAGTGGGGGTCTAACTTCATTCTTTTGTAGGTGACTCTCCAATTGTCCCAGTACCATTTGTTGAGAAGACTTTTCTTTCCTCACATTGAATGACCTTTGCACCTTAGAGAGACATAGATAGTATTTTTAAGCACGTAAGAAAAGATCACCTCTGGAAAAATGAAAGGCTCTCAAGAGGTAGATATGGTGTGGGGGTAGCTGGCAGTGTATTATTCTTCTATATTCCTTTCAGATTTTACAAATAATTATACATTGCTTTTCTAATTTTAACAATTTAAAAAATCAGAAAGTACAGATAAGCAAAATGAATTATACATATCCAACCCACCCTGCGACCACTATTACTACCTCACCAGATTTCTAAGAGTACATGCTCACATGGTATATATTCTCATATACATATGTGCCCAAACATGTCGAGAGCTGTATAGATATATTACACAAAAATAAGTCTTCCTTTAAAAAATTAACAGGGCATGAACATCTTTCCATATTGATGAAAATATTTCTGCAAGTTTATTTTTAGTGTGTCAACTTAGAGTCCCGTTACACATTAAAAGTAATGTCATGAATAAGTGAGGCAACTTTTGATGGTTTAGATCTCATTCAAACAACTTTGATTTCAGATATCAAGGAAAAGTATAAATAGTTGACGTGTAAACAACACAGGTTGGAACTGTATGGGCCCACTTAATATGTGGATTTTTTTCAGTAAAAAATATCTGCCCTCCATCTGGGCAGCTTCTGCATCCACAAGGAAATGTAGATGGAAAATAACACAGTCTTTTCAGAGTGTAAAACTGGTATACGGAGGCCAGCTTTTCACAACTGCAGGTTCCGCGGGACCAACTGCAGGACTTGAATATGCATGGCTTTTGGCATCTGCAAGTTGTCCTGAAACCAATCCCCCTGCAAATACCAAGGCATGACTGTATATTTTTCCCTAACTGCATTAAATAGGTAATTATTCTTAAGCTAGATAATTATTCTCAAGCCTGTACTTCAGGTAAACTGCTCAGCAATTAGGGGTTGATGTATTTCACTTTTAAATATATCAAGAGCTTTACAAAAGAAAATACATCTGGCGACTATCTGGTTATTTTGACCCATGTAACTCTGTGATGTTGACTTTCATTGATATTTCAGGGATGGTTATTTAAAAATATGGATCTTAACTTCTTTTTCAGACTTTCAAAAAGGATTATCAATATCCCAAATCACTTGACGTATTATCCAACGTTGGATGTGCACTGTCTATTACTGGTCTGGCTCTCACAATTATATTTCAGGTTGTTACCAGGTAAGACCAGAAGCAGGCTCTTTTCAGAAGGGAAGCTGCTATTCTGGTATAATTTACTCTGAGAATACTCATCAGAATTACAGTGTCTTTGAACTAGAGGAGACCTGAGATTCAGTTGAATGTATTTATTTTACCGAGCAGGACACTCAGGCCTGGAAAGGCTAAGAAATACACACAAATAAATATGTAATTACAAATTGCGCCAAGTGCCTTGGAAGTGAATTATATACCACTTATTTACAAGTTTGTCATGGAAAATTAATGTGGTCCTGCAGCTCATTAATGCCATAATTCCTTAGTGTTGAATAGAACCGTGCCTATTAGTTTGCATTTGTAAACGAAAGAGACATTGCTAAAAAGCAATTTTTTACAAAAATAATTTAAAAAATATATCAAGCTTTCAAATGGTGAAACATTTTTCAAAAACATATAAAGTTTTCAAATGGTGAAAGTTTTTGAATCCCATAGTTAAAGTCTAATTTTAAATAATGAACTATAAACAAATACCTCTCTCCACCTTCATTCAAGGTCCAATTTTGTATCCCATTTTTTATTTTTTGTCACATGCTACGTTTTTTTTAACTGCCTGCTGTCTTTTAGAAGCTTGTTCATTTATTAATTTACTTATTTACTGCGTGTTTCCTCTGTCAACTTCACATTTCATGTTTATTTGGTCTTTCATGATGCTGAATTTTTTTCAAGAATCCAGGCCAGATATTTTGAAAAATGTTCCACACTGAAGATTTGTCTGAAATTTTCCTCATGATGAGATGCAGGTTAATTATTTTTGGTGGGAATACTGCAATCATGGAATTTTTTTTAGGGTGACACAAGAAGGCACATCAGTTTATCCCGTTATTGTTGACTGTAAGTTTGATTCTTTGTTTAAAGTGATATCTGCCAGATTTCCACATATTAAAGGTTCATTTTTTCCCTACGTAAATAATAGGTGACTTGTGGGGTGCCACTTTGAGAATGCATGATATCCTGCTTCCCAAAAATCTTTTACTCAATTATCTTGTTATCCATTACTGATCCTTGTTGGAACAAATTATTACATTAGTAGTTGAAAAATGGTGATTTTCTAGTCTGTCATTCTATATTTCTTTGCTGTACTTTTTTGTAAAAAGCGTGCTTCCCAATGTCGCCAGAGGGCGACCCTTCACGTTGTTTTATCGTATCTCCGTCTTTAATCACTTCCTTATTTCCATCACAGCAAGATGATCACCTTTCACTTTCTCTGCCTCATTTCTCCAAAGAAGCAGAATTGTTTTTGATTCTCATTTCTCCAAAGAGTCAGAATTATTTTTGATTCCTTTTCTTCCCCTTTTCACATTAAATGAACCTCTGCCATTCATTTAAAAATTTTATAGTGAATGCTTATGATGTAAGGAGCTGAAAACAAAACTATGAACAATCTCCTATCTCTCCTGAAATATACATTGTTGGGGGGAGAAGGCAGACATTATGAAAATATATACACAGATGAATATGTAGTTACATATTGTGGTAAGTGCCTTGAAGGAAAACTACATGCCGTGTAACCACATGTTTGTCATGGAAAATTAAATGCCTCTTATATTCTCTCATTCTTTCTATTTCTGCCATCATCACCGTTGTTCTGACAATTATTTGGTCCCATAGGGATGAGTCATAGCTGCTGCATAACCAGTTTCCTTGTTCAAACCTCACTGCTTTCATTTGTCATCAGATTTTTTTCCTCCTTTATCAATGTGTTTTCTAGCACAATTATGCAACCATAGATGCCACTAAATTCATCAGGAAACAAAAACAAAAATAAAAGCCAGACCTGAAGGCTCACACCTGTAATTCCAGCACTTGGGGTGGCCAAGGCAGGAGGATTGTTTGAGCTCAGGAGCTTGAGACCAGCTTGGGCAATACAGCAAGATCACATCTCAAAAAAACTTTTTAAAAAGAGAGAAAAAACAAAACAAAAATAAAGACAAAATTTTATTGATTTTAAAATCCTGATCTATAAAATTTTCTTTGTTCGTGGACAGGTTCCCATATAATAATAATGCACAGAATACAGACAGTCCCCTATTGACCATAGTTCAACTTACAATTTTTCAGCTTTAAGATGGTGTGAAAGTGACAGCATTCAGGAATTTTCTTGATTTATGATAGGATGATGTCCCAATAAACTGATTGTAAATTGAAAATATGGTAAGTTGAAATGATATTTTGAGTTTTAAAGGTAAATTACATTGAAAAACTCAAGAGACTTTTTCTCTGCATTTAAATATGAGTTCATCTACTAATGTGCAGAATTTTCTATTACAAAATTTTTAAGAATCCATATAGGGCCTCTTCTACAGATGGCCTTCATATAAGCTTGCAAATCTAGAGTAGAACTTATTACCTAGTGCTGTATAAAAAACTGTCCCAAAACTCAGTGGATAGGAACAGTTATTATTTCTAATGATTCTGTGGCTTGTCTGGGCTCAGCTGGGAGATTTTTCCACTGGTCTTACTGTAGTCTTGCAGTCAGATGGCGGCGGGGCCAGAGTCATCTGGAGGGTCACCTAGGATGCTGGGGCAGCTGGGTCTTTCTCCCTCTCCATACAGTCTCAGAGGACTTGCATGCAGTTTTTTCAGCAAGGTGGCTGGGGTTTTTACACAGTGACTCAGAACTCCCAGGAGCACAAAAGGAAAAGCTGCCAGTGTTGTAGACTTTCTCCTACATCGCTGTTGTAGTTCAGCTAAAAGCTGGGTTCTTGTCACATGACCATGAAATATCAGGCTCACAGACACTTTGGAGGGTGAGAAGGACAGGGCTTATTGGATGAAAAGGGAAACAGGAACTCTCAGCAAAGTGTGAGTTCTGCTGGTAGGCTCCTCGCCCCTCACCCCCACACAGATGAATCCTGGGTTCTCACCCCAAAGAGCAGAGGCAGGCTCTTCTCCCCTGCAAAGGGCGCGACCTTCCCACAGCTCCTGCCAGTTCTCCCAGTGTGCAGGTCAGCTGGAGGTTCCCCGAGACCTCTTTATACTTGGGTGTCTCACCAGGAGGGCCATGTTGTGACTTTTATGCTCCCCAGGCACTTGTGCCTTTGTGGAACCTTTCATGTTATTAATGAAAGATTAAAAATAATATTGTATGATTCAATTGGTACAAAGATGCATATATTAATATTCTTTGAGAAGAGTCCTCTTTTTTCTTCTACGTCTAAAAGAAGTCAAAACATTACTATGGGTTACAAACACTAAGCACTATTGTGTTTAAAGGATAAGTTGGCCTTGGCTGCTAGGCCTCTGTGAAGGAGCTACACAGGGCGTACCTACCCGGAAGTAGGTTCACTGGGAGCCGTCTTTGGAGATTAGCCATCACTTTTGATTAGAACACAGTTTCAAGAAAAGATACATCAGCCTGTTTCCTTTAACTCATGACTGTGCGGAAATTGTAAGAGGAGAGTATAGTTTTCTGATGTAATTGAGAAGATGGATTTACCAGCTGTCCCCACTGAGCTATGAACTGAACTTCCATTGGGCAATAATAGTCTTTGTTCCCTAGATATTTCACTAACGTTTGTTTTGTGCAGTTGTTTTGTTTCATTTCATTTTTTATATTTATTTATTTATTTGTTTTCAGGAAAGTCAGAAAAACCTCTGTAACGTGGGTGTTGGTCAGTCTGTGCATATCAATGTTGATTTTCAACCTCCTCTTTGTGTTTGGAATTGAAAACTCCAATAAGAACTTGAAGACAAGTGGTGACGTTGAAAATATGGACTTTACCGATAATGTGATACCCAAGACAGACACCATTAGCACCCCAAATCCCACGTGCACTGCGGTTGCCACCTTACTGCACTATTTCTTGTTAGTGACGTTTACCTGGAACACACTCAGCGCGGCACAGCTCTATTTCTTTCTCATAAGGACCATGAAGCCTCTTCCTCGGCATTTCATTCTCTTCATCTCATTAATTGGATGGGGTAGGTGTTTGTATCTCCCCTTTCTCAGGAATTTAATTTTGTGGAAATCATTGAATTTAAACAAACACTGATTGAAGGTCTAATAGTTCAAGGCCTTGACATAATTAAGAGGAGATAGAAAATAGAGTGATTGCTAAGAATACTTTCTATCTAGTAGCTTATACTCCAGTGAAGGGGGCAGATGTGATCAAGGCAGGAATACGAGATACGTCATAAACCAACGTAACTAACTTGAAATTGTTAATTTCCTTAAATATCTCTTTTTACTAATTTGATTTAAGATCTAGACCACAAATGATTAACTTCCAGCTACTTTAAAGGAAATGTTTCAAGAAAGACAATCACAGTGACTCTTTAAGCATAAATATGTGAAAAATGTGTTGGGTTCCAGCAAAGGAAGACTTGTTTTAGGGATATCTAAATTTAAATTTATTCAAGTGACAGAGAAACTCTGCCACTAAAAGTGAAAATAGTGGTAAGAGTTACAAAGAAACCGGAAATAGGATTGATCTGTAGAGCCATCACTAAAAGGGAAAGGAAAATACTTGGAGAAAAATCATGTCCACTGTCGACCTGCATATGTAGGATCACTTTGCATTATGTCCATAGTGAAAATAACAAATATCCTGAAGAGGGTCAGATGTATAATTCATGTATGGTCTTTTATAATTAATCCAAGTCTGGATAAATTATTAATTCCATGCCTCTCTCTGTCACATAGGAGTCCCGGCTATAGTAGTGGCTGTAACGGTGGGAGTTGTTTATTCTCAGAATGAAAAGAATCCACAGTGGGAATTAGAATACCGGCAAGAGGAAATGTGAGTTTATATTTTTTTCAATGTCCAACTGTTTGAACTAAGAGTGTAACTGTTCAGTGATACTGACTCCAAGCGTCACTATAATTTGCATTTCACTGTATAATTGTCATGTTTAATGGTAGACATTTCAAATTCTCAAAGAACACATTATGTTTTAAAAATGATGACATGGAAATCTCTCATGATAAGTCCTTTTGTAAAGCAAGTAATCAATTTCTAAATTTATAAATGTGGACTTCCTTATGTCAAATTTGTCTTCTTTCATTAAATCTGAAAATCATGACATAATAGGTATGATCCTTAGTAACCCTATATCTTAGTTTTCTCATCTAGAAAATGGGAATAATCATAATAGTAATTCTTATTCTGGGGTTTACTGCAAGGGATCAATCAAGCGTAAAACATTTAGTGACATGAAGAAGACGCTCTGTGTGTCTCATTCATATAAACCAATTCTTTGTTGATATGATTATGATGAATATTTCACAATGATTCATCATATATAACAAATTCTTACTGTGACTCCAGTGTGAATAATGAACTGTTGGAACAGGAGCATCTGACTGTATGGCATTTGCTTTTTATGGGTGGGGGCGGAAAGAGTGGAACTGAACTGAGACTCAACTCCTTATACACATTTCTGCTACCAAATGGTAACTGCTCTTCAATTTGTCTTCCCTTCTCATTTTATGTCTAACTATTCTTATTTCCAAATTCCACCTGAAGTTCCAAACCAATACAAATGAAAGCAAAACTTCTGGAAATGGGCAAGGACTCCAAGGGAAGGCTGTGGTGTTCAGGGAGCTCACCTCTTTCCCAGGACTGATGGTGCCCAGCTGTGGGCTGGGAAGCTGACTGCCTGGCCTTATTTCATGGTCCCAGACACTACTTTCTCTCTGTTTAATTATGGTTTAATATCTTTTTAGGTTTTAAAATTTGAACCCCACAATTAGAAATACCTAATTAGAGATACCCAACATGCAAATATCTCATGGGGGAGGTAATTCACTTCAAGTTGCAATATTAATTGGTGTTAACCCAGGCACAGGGCTAGACTCACTCCTTTAAAAGTCTTCAGAAAAAAGAAGCCAATTGACTTAAATTTATTCACACTGAGCTATAAATAATTAAGAGCAGCTCCTTTCCTGATTACAGCGTTAGTTGCTGGGGAAGATATGAGCCAACTGATAATAAGAGAAGCTGGGGAGAGAGGAAAGGATGGGTGACATGAGCATCTGCCTCCTCCTGGACCTTCTCTCTCCCTTCCACCCTACACACGTGCCATCAAGGGCCACATTTCTCCAGGAAGTATTGAGAACCAGGAGGGATTATTTGGTTTTCCTGAGTTATCCTCCTAGCAATTGCTCCTCAAGAGACTGTGCGCTCCCCCGTTGCTCCCAGTTCTGCCAGTCATCCTGAAACCCCTGACCCACTTACTTGAGATACTGCTATCTCTGCATAGACCCAGTTACAGGGTGAATGTAGGGCAGGGCACATTCCTTTTTAACGCTCTACCCCTGGTTCTTCGTACCACTATCACGTAGGCCATTTCAGGCATTCCCGAAGGGTTGAAGTTTCCCTGGGAAATTATAATTAAGAGGAAATTTTTCAAGTATTGTTTTTATGGTGAAGCTGTCTTTCTCCGTGTCCCATGGCAAACTTACCAAGGAGATAAACACTTCATGTACATCCAATTGTGATGCTCTCCAGACCTCAAGTCCGTAGTATTTGTCAGATCAACCTCCATCATCCTGAAGATAAACGTGGCACTGTTTTATTTATGGATGGACTTATTATTCTATCTGTTAGAGGCAAGAATGCCTTTTCATTTTTAAATTCGTTATAGAGATTTGAACATCATTTCGGTATCCTCTTAGGTCATTCGGATTAGAAGTATAATTTCTAACAATTTAAGTTCACACTATTCCAATGCAAACAACTTTAGAAATCCTTTGAAATGTATAATAATGGTGTTTTACCTCCAAGGGAAAGAAAATAAAATTAATTGAATGCCAAATATGTGCCATAGCTTTTCACATCATTGTAATACACAACGGTCTACCTGACACCTCCACTTGACTGTTCAATAGGCACCTCCTCAGCTTCCCCCCCAAACCTGTTCATCTCATCATCTTCCCAGTTAATAGTAATTCTACCTTTCTAGGTGCTCAGATTGTGGAGCCATCCTTAATTCCCCTGCATACCACATCCAACCCATCAATAAATTCCTTTGCTTTACTTTTAAATATATCAGGAATCAGACTATTTCTTAACATGTCCTCTGCTGGTCCCATGTTATTGCAATAGACTCCTAGCTATTTGGCTGGTGCAAAAGTAATTGTAGTTTCTGCCATTATTTTTGCACCAACCTATTATTTCCTACTTTTGCTCATACTGTTTTCTCATGACTGTACCTGGACTAATGCTTTTAAACTCAAGACAGATCATGTCATGTCTCTCCATCTTGCTTAGGGTACAAGCAATCACCCACAAAGCTCCTACACAATTGGTATCTTTCCACTAACCTGATCCACTTACTGTGGTAGAGCCACACTAGCCTTTCTGTTATTTCTGAAGCTGTCACCTCAGGGCCTTTGCACTTGACGTGATCTTTGACTGGAACACCTTTCCTTGTCATCGACTTCAGGTCTTTGCTCAAATACAGCTCTTTTTCCATGAGGCTTTCCCTGACCACTCTATTTAAAATGAAACACCCCTCCCCTCCATACATACACACAGTAATTTCTACTCTCATGACCTGATTTACTTTTCTCCATGGCATTTGTCACCATCTGACATATTATGTATTTTATTTACTTTATCTGTTTCTCTGTACTAGACTGTAACCTCACTAAAGAAGAGATTTTTGTTTCGTTCACTGCTAATATTTTGGTGTCGAAAATGGTATCTAGCACATCGTATGTGCTCTATAAATATTTATTAAATGAATTAATTAATTCTTTCAACAACAACAGTCAGTAGGTGGTTACTATTATTCTCACCTCAGAAGAGAAAAAAACACCACACCACCACCGCCAAAGAAAAAACCCCACAAAACAAAAACAAAACAGGTACAATGAGGTTAAATAACTTTTTCAAACTCTTGTTAAACGTTGATATTTTTTAAATGCCCATCAATAGGAGACAGTTTAAAGTGATGGCATATTATTTCACTTTTCTAGTGGGTAGAATTCCTGAAAGTCATCTCAAGTGTATAAAGTGCCGAGGGATGCTAACTTTTAACAGATCTTTTAGTTGAGTGAATGTCAATAATGTTAATAGCACAAAGAACCAGTATGTATACCTTTCTTAGTCTGCTGAAATAATTTTTTTTTTCTCCACAGCTGCTGGCTGGCAATTCCAGAAAGCAGAGATGTAATCAAAAGTCCATTGTTATGGTCATTCATCGTACCTGTAGCCATTATCCTCATCACTAATGTTGTTATATTTATTATAATCTCAGTCAAAGTGTTGTGGAAGAATAACCAGAACCTCACAAGGTAAGATTCCCAATGAATGGGAAGCTGCCAGGCAAGGCTCATCCAGCACTTAACACAGCTCCTACAGTTGTGTAAACACAGCTCCATAATGCATCGACAGTTCCAAGAGCTTTCAAACTCAGACAACGGCAGGGCTATGCGGTTGGCAGGAGAGATTTGCCCTTACGCTTTGACTGAGAAAGTAGATCTTATCGTGTTCTCACATCAGTATAGTCCACTCTCAATATCCTGGGTTTCCACATCCGTGGGTTCAGCAAAGAGAGGATCAACTAAAAACTAAACCCAGACTGCAAGAAAAAGAAATTTTTCTTTGCTTATCCTAAATATTCAATAAATCATATTTGAATAATTAAAGAAAGGAGAGGGTTATGAGGGAATGCTGGTACTTGAATTTTCATTTTATTAATATCAGTACCTATTGGCTATATTTTACATGTATTGCTTGAATTACACAACAGCACTAAAATTTCTTATTTATTTTATTATTATTTTTTGAGACCGGGTCTTTGCTCTGTCAGTCAGGCTGGAGTGCAATGGCACAATCACAGCTCACTGCAGCCTCGATTTCCTGGACTCAAGCAATCCTCCCCCCTTAGCCACCAGAGGAGCTGGGACTACAGACATACACCACCATGCCCAGCTAATCTTTTTCTATTTTTTATAGAAATGTAGTCTCTATAAAAAAGAGGCTGGTCTTGCACTCCTGGGCTCAAGTAACAGCTCCACTTAGTATGACCAGATGAGTAAAAGCCACCATCTTTAGTGGGACTATATCTGTTTTTTCTTTTAACGTTAACATTTTATTTAAACCAGTACAAGCACCATGCTTAACAAAAGACTGTCCAAAATTACCATGCAATATGAACTAGCAGAGACTGAACGTACAGCTTACGAAGCTGTGCCAGTTCTTGGTTTTGTTGAACGATGACAGAGAACAATGTTTCAAGCCTCCTGAATGAGATTTTATTTGACCATCTAAATCAGTGGGAACTGCCCTGGCATGTTAATGATCTCAAACAATATTCAAGTAATTAGTTTATATGAATTCTACTCCAAAAAGCAAGAAATACATTACTGTATATGAGCACTGATTTGAAATGTCAAATGACATAATAAAAACAAATTTCTCAAGAACATTCAGCTTCGGACCGCTGGTTTTAGGTGACCTAGAAGATCATTACATTCTTCCAGAAATATAAAATAAGATTTGTCCAGAAATGTTTGAAACACATCCTCACAAAAGTTGTAATGGCTCAAACTTTATAGATTCCAGTATTGTCAGCCTATTGAACAAACAGGGAAAGCCACCGTCGTAAGAATACTTGAAATGCTGGAATACAAGTTACTCTCTTCTTCCGCCAAAGATCAGCATTTAAACTCTTATGAAAATATCTATTCATCACTAGTCCATATATGGATTAATGACATTGCTCAGGTTTTAAAAGTAGTCCAAACATCTTCTAAGTACGCCTTCCTTAATATCTATATGGGTTGTGGGAAACAGCCAAATTTAATTTGGCAATAAACTCCTCTAACTGGAAATTTTTAGCCAAAGTGTCAGACAAGGATACAGTTTATGGCTACAGTTGACTCCCAAAAATAGGAAACGAAAAGGGAGGGAAAAGTGCTGACATGTATTTTGCCACACAGATTATTTAGTAAGTAAAAAATTTAGCAACATGCTCTTAAACAAGAATGTGTTTAACTGCACTAGGCATTTAGTAAACTTTTAGAACTAGACAATTTGAACATTTATTTTAGATGTTGATTAAACAGTCAATCAACTTTTTTCCTAATATAATTACGTCAATACCAGAACAAAGTGATCACTATTCAAAACTCAGACATTTTGGAATAGTAACCTGAGGAGTTTTCTTCGTATGTATTTTTGTTGTCATGGAAACCACACTAAATAATACTGTGATTAGGCCAGGCGTGGTGACTCACGCCTGTAATCCCAGCACTCTGGGAGGCCGAGGTGGGCAGATCACGAGGCCAAGAGATCGAGACCATCCTGGCCAACATGGTAAAACCCCAACTCTCCTAAAAATACAAAAATTAGCTGGGCATAGTGGTGTGTGCCTGTAGTCACAGCTGCTCGGGAGGCTGAGGCAGGAGAATTGCTTGAACAGAGAAGGTGGAGGTTGCAGTGAGCCAAGATTATGCCACTGCACTCCAGCCTGGCAGCTGGTGACAGAGCGAGACTCTGTCTCGAAATTAATAATAATAATAATAATAATACTGTGATTACCAGTTGGTTCTATTTTGACATTAGATGCTATGTAGAACTTAATGCAGGGCTGACAATTTCAAAACTAACGCTGACTTAGAAGACCACAAAGGGGGGTCCCAGGAAAAAAGTTGCTGCCAAAAACGAAAGATTAAGATTTAAGGCTAAATGGGAATGGTTCAGAAAGATACAGAATGTAAAAACTGGAATTATGAAATCTGGAGTTATTATTTGGAGGGTGGCAGCAAAAAGACACTAAATAGCAAATATACTTGAAAAGAACATTGCAAAATTTAGTAAGGTGAAAGGGAAATCTGTACAAATGTTTGAGAACACTTTAGAGCATGGGATTTGTAAATCTCCCCATAGAACAGATGAAATAAAAATGTTCTACTGATCCTCTAACCTCAATCTGTTGTCTTGCTAAAAACATGTTATGGATTAGGAGTCAGACAAGCTCAGAAAAGCATGGTTTATCACGCTCTTTGCTCCTGATAAAGAGAGTAGGGAAACTAAGAATTCTAATGTATGGCAGGTCAGTATTGTCTGACACTATGGAGGACCTCCAAATTTAAAAATAAAACTAAAATATTCAAGACAAAGTAAGAAACTTCATTAAAAAATACATTCTTGCAGTACTAGTTTCTCTTATTGCTGCAAACCGGGTGAAACATTTCCTTCATTCAAAAACATTAAAAACACTCTCTACTCACTTGGATTATATTTGTATTTCTACAGAATTATATGCATATTATTGTCCAATATCAACATACCTGTTTAAAGAATTCTTAACCTTCCTGGGTGAGTTTTCTCTCTCTCTCTGGAAATTGGAATAAAGAACCTTTTCCCTCCAAGAACCATAACAAACACCTACTCTAGCACTTCCTCATCTCCAGCTAACTTTCTATTGCTTCCTGACTTCAAAATTAGTGAAGCCAAACCGTGTTGGGAACAGAAGATGTTCTATTCAATATCGTGAAAACTTCAACTATCTTTATTTCTCACAGAAACCTCAAAAACAAAATGCAAAGAACATATGAATGGAAAACATGCCAAAATTTAAATTTTGCTAGTTTTGAGATGATTACTTTTTTTTTTTTGAGACTGAGCCTTGCTCGATCTTGGCTTACTGCAACCTCCACATCATGGGTTCAAGTGATTCTCCTGCCTCAGTCTCCCGAGTAGCTGGGATTACAGACGTGCGCCACCATGCCTGGCTAATTTTTGTATTTTTAGTAAAGATGGGATTTCACCATGTTGGTCAGGCTGTTCTTGAACTCCGGACCTCGTAATCCACCTACCTCTGCCTCCCAAAGTGCTGGGATTACAGGCATGAGCCACTGCATCTAGCCCAGATATTCTTAATATAAGACACTCACCAAATTTCATTAGTCTTTAGAGTTTCTAGACCTGTTATCAAATTAAGGTTCAATGGTTACTTATTTATTTGTTTTTACAAGTATGCCAAATACCAGAATCCTTGCTTTATGCCAAGAATACCATCATCTAACAAGACTGGTTTAGTTAACTATTTGGCATCCAGTTCAGAATATCTTCTGACATTTAGGATATAAGATGTGATTTCTACTGATGTGTTGACGTTATGAATATGGCCAAAGTTTTAAGATAATTTTTTTCCTATGGCACAAAACTAATCACAAGTATACCCAAAATTTTAATTCTCAGCTGCCATATATTCACTAATGCAAGCAGATGGTTTAAATTTTTAAAATATGAAGTTGATTTTATTACAACTTTCATTCACTTAAGAAATAAAAATTCCATTTCAACAAAAAAGTTGGTTTTCAAAATTTGCCTGCTATAGTATTAAGGAGTTGTGTTTGCCTGAACTTTTAAACAAGTATCAGTGTATTCTTAAATAAAGCTTGCTAAATCAGATTTTCTCCAGAGTGATGTAAGACAGCATCATTTTAATACCTGAGGCATCATATTCTTAAATGAACAGTGTACATGGGCAGCTGAATATGCATTCTAAATAGGAGAGTAATAGTGACATTGGTAAGTAAAAACCTAATGAACCACATTATTTTTCTTGTTTCCTTTTACCTAGCACAAAAAAAGTTTCATCCACAAAGAAGATTGTTAGCACATTGTCTGTTGCAGTTGTTTTTGGAATTACCTGGATCCTGGCATATCTGATGTTAATTAATGATGATAACATCAGGATCGTCTTCAGCTACATATTCTGCCTTTTCAACACTACCCAGGTATGGTGTGGATTAGTTTGAAAGCAGTAGAACATGTAGTGGTGGAGAGGATATTACCTTGACCCATTGCTTAGTTACCTTTAAGAGAGTATTTTTAACAAATCTAGTGTGTACATAGTAGGTGGGTATATTATGGAGTAAAAGAGATATTTCAATCTTGGCAAAAATGTTTAATAATCACATCAGGGTAAATGGGGTACCATCACCTCAAGCATTTACCCTTTTTGTGTGTGTTACAAACAATCCACTTATACTCTTATTTAAAAATGGACAATTATTAGCAACTATAATCACCCTTCTGTGCTGTCAAATACTAGATCCTATTCATTCCAACTATATGTTTGTACTCATGCCCATGAACCATTCCCACTTTCCCCTCCGCCCACCCACTACCATTTCCAGCTTCTGGTAACAATCATCCTACTCTCTATCTCCATGATTTCAATTTTTTAAGCTCTTTAGCTTCCACAAATAAGTGAGAATATGCAAAGTTTGTCTTTCTGTGCCTGGTTTATTTCACTTAACATGATAACCTCCAGTTCCATCCATGTTACTACAAATGACAGCATCTCATTCTTTTTTGTGGCCGAATAGTACTCCATTGTGTATATGTACTGCATTATCTTTATCCATTTCTCTGTTGATGGATACTTCATTTGCTTCCAAATCTTGGTTATTATGAATAGTGCTGTGAAAAACGTGGGAGTGCAGATGTCTCTTTGATATACTGATTTTCTTTCTTTTGGATATATATCTAGCAGTGGGATTGCTGGATCATATGGTAGTTCAATTTTTCTTTTTTGAGGAACTTTCACAACTGTTCTCTATAGTGGTTGTACTAATTTACATTCCCACTAAGCGTGCATGAGGGTTCTCTTTTCTCCACATCCTCACCAGCATTTGCTATTGCCTGCCTTTGGATAAAAGCCATTTTAATCTGGGCAAGATGATATCCATAGTTTCATTTGCATTTCATGGCCAATGACGTTGAGTATCTTTTCATTTACCTGTTTGCCATTTGTATGTCTTCTTTTGAGAAATGTCTTTTCAGACCTTTTGCCCATTTTTAACTGGATTATTGGATTTTTTTCCTATAGAATTGTTTCAGCTTCCTGCATATTCTGGTTATTAATGAGATGGATAGTTTGCAAATATTTTCTCCCGTTCTATGGGTTGTCTCTTCACTTTGTTGACTATTTCCTTTGCTATGCAGATGCTTTTTAACTTGATGTGATCCTATTTGCCCAATTTACTTTGGTTGTCTGTATTTGTGGAGTATTACTCCAGATATCTTAGCCCAGTCCGATGTCGTGGAGTTTTGGAGATCTTAGATTTAAGTGTTAATCCATTTCGATTTGATTTTTGTATATGGTGAGAGATAAGGGTATCATTTTCATTCTTCTGTGTATGGGTATGCAGTTTACCCAGCACCATTTATTGAAGAGACTGTCCTTTCCACAGTGTTTGTTCTTGGCATCTTTGTCAAAAATGAGTTCACTGTAGCTGTATGGTTTTGTTTCTGGGTTCTCTTTTCCATTTCATTGGTTGATGTGTCTGTTTTTATGCCAGTACCATGCTATTTTCATTACTATAGCTCTGTAGTATAATTTGAAGTCACATAATGTGATTCCTCCAGTTTTGTTCTTTTTGCTCAGTATCATTTTGGCTATCCTAGGTCTTTTGTGGTTCCAATAAATTTTAGGATCATTTTTTCTTTTTCTGTGAAGAATGTCATTGGTATTTTGATAGGGATTGCATAGAATCTGTAGATTGATTTGAGTAATGACATTTTTGAAATATTGATTTTTCAATCCATGAACATGCATTTCCATTTTTTGTGTCCTCTTCAGTTTCTTGCATGCAGGTTTTATAGTTTTCATTGTAGAGATCTTTCACTTTTTTGGTTAAGCTAATTCTAAGGTATTGCATTTTATTTGTAGCTATTGTAAATAGGATTACTTTCTTAATTTCTTTTTCAGATTGTTTGCTGTTGGCATATAGAAATGCTAGTGACTTATATGTTAATTTTGTGTCCTGCAACTTTACTAAATTTACGAGTTCTAATAATTTTTTTTGTGGAGTCTTTAGTTTTTTCCAAATATAAGATCATATCATTTGCAAACAAGGATAATTTGATTTCTTCCTTTCCAATTTAGATGCCTTTTATTGCTTTCTCTTACCTAATTGCTTTACCTAGGACTTCCAGTACTATGTTGAATAACAGTAGTGAAAGTGGGCATCCTTGTTGTGTTCCAGATATTAGAGGAAAAGCTTTCAGTTTTCCCCCATTCAGCATGATACAAGCTGTGAGTCTGTCATATACAGCTTTTATTGTGTTGAAGTATGTTCCTTCTATCCCTAGTTTTTAAGAGTTTTTACCTTGAAGGGATGTTGCTTTTTTTTTTTTTTTTTTTT